AAAAAAAAAAAAAAAAAAAAAAATAAAGTTGCCTTTAAGACCAATTTTTAAAATAGCCAACTTAATCCTAAAACTTGACTCCTCATTTATCATTATACTTAATTATACTAGGTCATAATGATTCTCTACATTCCTTTTGACCTAATATTCACCATTGCTATAGAAGAGATAGCTCTGAAGTGATCAGCCCTACCTAATAACCCTTTATTAAGAAAGTTACCATCCCCCAAAAAATTTAAAGCAAAATAGAATGAAAAACTTCTGAACGTAGGAAAATAGTGAATTAAAAAAACCCAATAAAGAACACATTCTTTACAGTAAGTAAAATTATGAACCATCTGCTACCTGTTCACATCATACAGTACTCTGGAGCTGCCACCACATTTAGGGAGGAAGTGTCCTAGAAAGTAATCTGCCTCCATATTTCAAGTCAGAGCAAAAACCCAGAGGGTGAATCTTACAGAGAAGTACCAGTAAAATACCAAATTCAAAGAACATAGTTAAATCTTGAAGAGATATTATTATTGAAACAAGTATTTAATTAGTGATTATCATTCCCAATAAAAAATATGATGATGAACAACTGGCTAATCAGAAATATTTTTAAAATAAGCAGTAGAGTCATCGTATCAGGTGGGAAAAAAAAAAATCTATGCTGATTTTAAAAAGTCTTGACTTTTTGACAGATCACAGAGCATAATAAAATAAAAAAGAACTAAAAACAATGTGAAATTCACAAAACAGTAGAAAGGAGCATTTGTATGTGTTAAAATAATTTAATTTCCCTGTACATCTCTGTCCACACGAGAAATCAAGATATGCACTTTACAATATGTACCTGTTTTGAGACATTCAAGTCAATTCAGATGGTAAAAGTAGAATTCAATCACCAGTGAAATGTTTAAAAAATATATATTAAACAAAATGTGTCTTTACAAGATAAAAAATAATCTTTCACAATGCAATAAACTGCAAATCACTGAAACTTTAACTCTTTAGATGATTTCAGTTCAGTTTTTGGTTTCAAAATCTGGACACAGTAAGAAAAAAAAGTGTTGGCAGAATTTCTATCTGTTTTTGCGTCTTTCTTTTTTGCTTCGACTACTGGTGACACTGTTTACGGATGATGGAGGAGGTGCTCTTGCATGACCTGTAGCCTTGAGATGGTCAAAAAGTTTATTCCGGGATGGAAACTCACTATGGCAGGTTGTACAGCTGATAAGAACATCATTCTATAAAGGCAAGAAAATCATAAATAAAAGGAAGTGTTACCTGAGAGTAGTGTTTTATGTTATAACATCAGAATTAAATATAAAATAACAATAAAACCGAGACATTTTAACAAAATAGCAACCAAAACAGGCTCAGTAAAGGCAGATGCTCTTGGAAATTGAATCTCATTAACCAACACCATCAACTCTAAGGGGTCAGAGTTTCAACAGCATGTACCACACAGACTAACGAGTTTGCACTTTACAACTAATCTTTAGAACTCAACAAATGTAAGTCCTATCACTAACATCAAAGATTGCAAAGTAATGGAAAACAAAGGTAACTACTGTATCTAGTATTTCGGGTACTTCTTTTACTTCTTTTACTTTGAGGAAAAAAGGAAAGATAGCAGTACATTTAAAAACTCTACCAGCATCCTGCAAAACCACTGATGAATCCGTATTTTGCAGGTTCTTTGGGGAAAGACTCACCCAGTATGCATTTGCATCTTCAGAACATTATACTGCTTAAGCAAGGTCCACTAAAGAGATGTAAAAATGATTTTGACCTACCTGTATTTGTGGTTCAGCAGCTACTTTGACAGATTTTTTCATATCTTTGGTTTTCTTTCCTTTGGGTTTAGGAATGCTAGAAAATAAATTTTCCAGTGTAATAGAAAATTAAATAATGTACCCTTTTTAATGGTCATCTTGCTTCCAAGAACACTCAAAAGATGACATGTACTTTAAAATGCTAATTTATTAACTTTAATGGCTAATTTAATTAACCACATCTCAAAATGCTTTGTAAACTTTAGAGATCAAATTAACAAATTGCACACATAATTTAAAACAGTTGAAACAAAAGCTAAAATATCCCTAAAATAAATAAACTAGTATATTTTTATAAAAAGTATTTATAAATACTCCATTTATCGAGGCAAATCATCTTCACAACCAACCGGCAGTTATCATAGATAACCTATGACATTATGTGTGGTTCCCAAAACATCAACTTCTTGAATCTGATTCAGTCTCTAAAGAACATATTCAGACTCAGCATGAAATGAAAAAACTGCATTATAATAAATTTTTCATAAATTAAGTTTGCTCAATATGTGAAACTTATGTTTATTAAAAGATGGCATCCTTTTTACTGATCTGGGTGACACTGTGGACCCTTTAAACCAGAAGCTACCTGTCAGCCTAGTCAGGTTTCTCCTATTCTGTCTGCATCCTGAACATTATGAGTAATAACTTCCTCGGTAAACTTTAATTTTCCTTAGTCATTTTGTATTTTTCCTCATTTGTGACAACCACATTTATCAAGTAAAAATCTAAGTCCAACTGTATTTATAAGCACACAGTGAATGAGTTATGATGATGCTTCCAAGCACTTCATGGGTAGCTACTCCTCAAGCAGAAACCAACATATACCAAAAGCATACACCTTTAAAGATGCTGACTAGGAGTGTAACAAGCTATTATGCAGTATTTAGCCAGTTCTGGAAACATAAAAAAATGGTGCAATGGTATGAAAGGCAGTAAGTAGATCAACAAAAAAAATCATAAATATGTCTATGAAATCTCAGGGAAATATAAGTGGTAAGTAATTTGTCAGAACCTAGTATCTAAGACCTTTATTTTTTTTAAAGCGGTATGTGCCCATACATTTAACAAAACACTTCTCATAGATTGCTATGGTTGTCCACATCACTAGAGATCAGCAGCAGAGGGCTTGGCAGTAAGCGCTGTTCTCAGGAGGCTGGTTAGGGTAGGAAGAAGAGCAGAGGCAGGTGATGTGTCTGTCTCAGCCCTGCCATTCCTCTTCAGTGATAAGGTAACGCAAATTCTCTGAATGTTTTTTTCTCATATCAGGAAAACTAAAAAACGAACTATACACTTGTTGCCCAAATCTGAGAATCCTTCCTTTATCCTCCCCAAATAAATGCTCAGGCAGAAGTCACATGGAAAGTAAACAAACACCTTTTATCATTAGGTAAAGAGGTTTTAGAGGTCTACAGCCCCATGTCTTGGCCCACCCCTCACTCCCTCCAAAAAACCCAAGGAGCCTTACAGGATGCCTGGGCCCCATGGAGCTAGACAGAGATTAAATGGGAGCTTTCCCACCTACCAGCTTTTGTCTATGGACAAGTCTTAACCTAAGATTGCTTCTCTGTAAAATGAGAACAAATGTCTAGCATCAGCAAAATAAATGTTCATTTCCCCTTCCTGGCTTCCACTCTCCAAAGGTTTTCAAAGTTCTGACATCTGCAGCTTGTGTAGTTCCTTGTCTTCCTTTTTCTGCAGCTACAGCCCTACTGTAGGCCTCAGTTACATGTTCCCTCATTCTCGCTACTGTATGTAAATGCCTTACATCTGGAAGTACACTTTACCATTCCATCACTGCAGCTCCGGCCATGGGCTTTTTCAATCACACTCCCACTTTACTGTGTCACTTTCACTCTTTCTCATATTCCTGTGAGGATGGGAACCTGAGGCTACTTACTATTCAGATCTCCCTTCAAAGAATTAGCAGAATTAAGAAGCCAGTCAACAAGAGGAGGGGAAGAAAACTATCTGTAAGCTTGTTACTGTAACACTTTCTTCTCACACACGCCTTATCTGTAGGCATATGTGTACCTTTGTATATATGTTTGTATTTATGTACAGTTTATACTTAACTTAGTCATGAAAAGATTTGAGCTATATAAAAAGCTGTCCTTATTTTCAATGTTCAGTGGTTAGGAAACAATATGCAATTTTGACCTACCTTTTAGGTTCACTTTTTGGATCATCACATTGTTTGATGGGCTTTGTGACACTGACATTTTCTACAAGATTATCTTCTAATTCTTTGGCATTATCTTCATTTAAATCAGTATCTTCTGGATCAACCTTTTCTCTTTCTCCAGTTCCACTTTCACTGAAACTGTCATCATAATTCTAGACATTAAAACATATGTGCCATTACAAACAAATCTATTTAGTAATACTTGTTTCTTATGTTATATCGCCAAATAATAAATTTTGATAAATTGATAATGTTCTATGATCTAATAGGAGCAAATCACAAGAAATAAAAGAAGTGGGTAAGTTAATAAATATATGCTCATTACAGAGATACTAAATTAGGGGAAAACCAGAAATAATTCCTATGTTCAATAAGTGAAATGGCTGAATACACGAAGTAAATTCATTAAGTTCAATTACTCAATTATGTGAAAAATATGATGTGTTAGCAAAATAAAAATTACACATCACAGTTCAATCACAATTTAATACATATTAAGTAATCTCTATAGGTACAATTAAAGAAGACATACTTTTCTACATTTTCCAAATGATTGGTAATGAGCAACTATTACTTTTATAGTCTGAAAAAAACAAGGCCATGAATAGGCAGTATAGAAGAAAGATGTCTGGCAAACACATATTTACTAAGTGCTAATGTATGCTTTTGTTGAGTGGCAATCTGCTAAACTCGTGCATGTGCACACTCACACACACTCTCCTCCCTTCTCTACCTGAACACACACTTTCAGTCCCTCTGCACTCTCTGAAAGTTTTAGGCATATATGAATGTCTGTCATCTTATCTTTTAAGAACAAAAATATTCTGAGTCATGATTCTCATCATATACCAGGAGTTAACAGATATTACCTGTCAAGATTCCACATTCAAATTCGCCATTCCTTTTTGAAAATTCCAAAAAGGGGATATAATCAAAGGCCACATATTGCATTTCTTATCTCTTTCATCTTATTCCAGAACAGTTCTCTCACTTTTAAAAAATCTTTCATGATGTTGGCAATCTGATGATTACTTTGTAGGATGTCTCATCATTTGGCTTTGTCTGATTGTTTCCAAATGACTGGATTCAGTTTAACCATTTCTAGCAAGAGTACTACAAAGATAATGCTATGTCCTCAGTACATCCCATTTTCCAAAAATATTAACAAGTTTCATCATTTATTAGGTGGTTTTATCAGGTTTTTCAAGTTAATACATAATCCACAGAGTACAGCTTTGAGATTGTGTGAATATCCTGTCCACAATAACCATTCACCCAATGGACAAGGCAGAATCTATGACTTTTGACATTTATTATGCTGGTAGTTGGAAAACTGAGTTTTCTACCTCTGTTACTTATGCCATCTGCATTTGTACTAACTTATATTCTGGAATAAAGCTTTCTCATCTCCTTTCTTCAACTCTGTAAACTCAGTATTGATAAGGAGTTTTCTAATAAAATCAACATGTGAAAATATACCTATCACCACTATTCTTTTTGATTGACTCAAATTTTCCTACCTGGCAGGCTCTGTAAGTCAGGTTCTGAAGGCTTCTGATACATCCCATCAGTTTCTGAGTAAGGCGCCCCCTTAGTTTCCACCTAAGAAGTTCTGGGCTCACCTTCTATCTGTCCCATCTCCGTACAGAGTCATTCGGTTCTCTAAAAAGCAAACTCTGTTTCCTTCCTGAGGGGATGGAAACTTAGAAGCTAAGATGTAGGACTTAGGTTTGATTAAAGGAAATTTCTTTTTCTTTTTTTTTTTTTTTTGGTTTTTTTCTGGTACCGGGAATCGAATTCACGACCTTGTGCTTGCCAGGCAGGTGCTGTGCTGCTGAGCTAAATCCCCAGCCCCTGGAAATTTCATTTTCTTTTAATCAATTTATAACCAATATAAGATTATGGAATGAAAGTTCTCTCCTCTTTACAGACTATACTGCATAAACAAGAACACTGTAAATTTGTAACTGTTATTTAACGTTAATAAAACATTATGAACATACCTGTGCCGGCTTCTGTTTCTTTTTCCTCTGTTTTTTAGAAAGCCTAAGAACAAATATAAATTAATATGTCAAATATTTGACTTTGTGAAGATTTACCACATAAAAAATCAGTGACATGCTAGTGGTAAACCGAATATTTAAAATATTCAACACCATAAAGCGTTAAAAGGATAAGAAAATGTACACACTGTCATTTTAGAGAATAACAGTGGTTAAATGAATAGAAATGAATAGTAATTACCCTACATGTGAAGCTGCTTTGTCATAGTCATATATATTCTATGAAAACTATCTTTGACATCATTACCTACTTCAGCATTATAAAATTTCATTATCTACAAGAGATGTAAAAAACATTGTTGTAACTAATCAACTTCCCTGAGATAAAATGGCATTTAAATATTATCTTTAAATGTGACAAATATGTCTAGTAACATTTCATTTCATTTTTCAGGTACTTTTGTTTTGGTGCATCTTCCATTTCTTCCTCAGAATTGGCATTCAATAGATTTTCATCTACTTGAGATCCTGAAAAATTCTCTTCCTCCTCTTCCAGCTGTTGTTTCAACAAGGCAACCATCTCCCGGTGTTTCTTTGACTTTTCATGATTCTTCATGCTGAAAGAACAATCCGATATTAGTGGCTGACCTAGGAGTCATTCACATGTGCCCAGCTATGCTGCTGGGTAACTGCAACCACGGTGAAACCGCTAAATGATTGTGACTTTATACAGAGCCACAGAAGTCTGTTGGGACGGCTCAGACATGAAAGCTCATAACCAAGCTCCATCTTCTTGGATACCAGCATTCCTATTTTCTTCCTTGTTGTTTACACACATTTACCTCTCCTTTTTTGGGCCAAATTCTCTATTTATTATTTTGATTTTTCAATTTTTTTGGGGGGGGGGTCTTTTTGAAACAGGATGTCGCTATACAGTTCAAGCTGGCTTTGAGCTCATTTTGTAGCCCAGGCTGGTCTTGAACTTGCAATGATCCTCCTGCCTCAGTCTCCCGAGTGCTGGGACTACAGGCATGTACCACCATGCCTGGCTGATTTTTCAATTTTTAAAATGAAAACCTTTTCCACTGTTCCCTTTTAATCAGTATGTGTTTGCGAAGGGCTTGTGTGTTCAAGGACAGGGTAAAGAGTTTGAAGAGTCACTGGAAATTGCAAGATATACATGGTAATGTTAAAAGGGAGACCCCTGGACTGCAGAGTGGTCACAGGAGGGCTTAAAGGACACTTTAAACAGTTTACTTCCTTTACTGTTTTCACCTTCTCAGGAGGTCTCTCTTTTTACTCCTGTCACCCTAAATATGAGTTCAAATACATCTCTGAAGCTATTCAAAAATCTATAGGCAATGTCTATTTCAGTATATACACAGGCAAGTAAAGAATGTTTCGTAAAACAGAACTGACAATATATCAGTTGACAAACTAGGAAGGAGGAAACTTGGGCTAGAAATGTAGCTCAGTGGTAGTGCTTGTCTGGATTGTTCAAGGTGCTGGGATCAATCCCCTGCATACGCCCTCCTCCCAAAACATAAAGAACCTTGTGATCACTATCTCCTTTACACCTTCTGTGCAGCTTTTTGCTGTTTCTAATGTAGGCTGCTACTTCTCCTTCTTACTGAAATTCTCTTTCAGACCTAGATCTGTTGGAGAAATGAGGACATCATATGACCGTAAGTGCTCAAAATGATGCAGATGTATAAGAAAAACACAGGCACTGACTTGAAGGACTTTCACTAAGCAAATCTGGAAAAACACAAGCACTGAAAAGGGCAGGAACAAGTTATAAAATTCTGAAAAAATCCTAAAAACTTTGTAAAATTCAAAGGTAAAAAAATGGGAAAGGGGGGGCTGGGGATTTAGCTCAGCGGCAAAAGCGCCTGCCTGGCAAGCGCAAGGTCGTGAGTTCGGTTCCTGGTACCGGAGAAAGACCAAAAAAAAAAAAAAAAAAAAATGGGAAAGAGAGCTTGTTTATAGCACAAGGGCAAATACTGTTTGATATATCAAGAAGGAGGAAAAAAAGCATCATTTGCTAACCACCACAAAATAAAGACTAGTAGTGGCTGAGTATCCTTATCCAAAATCCAGGGGCCAGATGTGTTTTGGATTTCAAATTGGTGGTGGTGATTGGGTTGGAATAGTTTTCATATATAAAATGAGATCTCTTGAAGATTAGACTCCAGTTTAAGCAAAAAATTCATTCATGTTTTATATATACCTCGTACACAAGGCATAAAGGTAATTCTATACCTTTTTAGCATGCTATATATCAACTATGATCTGTTATAGGAGGTCACGTGCAATTTTCCCACTTGTGGCATGATGTCTACACTCATAATCTTTCAGGCTTTAGGTATTTCAGATTTTCAAATTAGGGGTTGATGCTCAATACATACAGTGCTAAATTTAGGAGGAAATTTTTCATGAATAAGGTATTTGCAGAGTTTTAAAGTGTCTCCGCATAGATTAGATATACTTCCACGGAAAATTTATTGCAAGGAAAAATATATTAACTCTACTAGAAAAATGGATGATCAAAACAATCACCACCATTGAGGAGCAAGAGGACTTTGTATGCTTCTAGATCTAAACCCCTGAAAACGACACAATTGCAATATAATGCCTGAGGAGGCATACATTGAATCTAATCATGAAGAAACAGACAAACCCAAAATAAGAAATTTCTATGAAAAACATTTCAAACGACTAGTACATTGGATTCTGTACTGAACTGGGCAGCACTGGTATATATAACATGAATAAAGGATCAACTGACAAAATTGAGATATGGCAATAAATCAGACAAAAGTACCCTCTCAGTGTTATAAATTTCCTAAAGTTGATAACATATTCTTACTCTCAAGACATACAGAGCTAAGAATTTCGAGGCAAAGGAGTATTACATATTTAAATTACTCTGAAATTTTCAGGAAAAAAAAAACAAACGTGTTTGTGTTTGTGTGTGTGTGTAGAGACAGAGACAGAGAGGGAGGAAGACAGAACATGCAAATGGAGCAAAACAGTACCAACAATACTCTGGTTTCTCTTCAGATAGCATAAATCTTTCGCCTTTTTTAAAAACATTACTAACAGGTGCAGAGAGTATGCCACATACTCTTGCAATTTTTCTTTAGGTATGATATTATTTCCAAATTTACAAGTAATTTTAAAAATCTTTCTGCTGCTTTTTGTTTTCTTGCTTTCTTCTAACGTTTCCTGCCTCTTGCCACTTCTCTTACTACCCTGTCACTTTTCCCTTGGGGTTTTGCAGTACATCTAGTCTGATTTCCACTGGCTCATTCAATTCTTTTGCTGTCCTTTCTTGCTAACTGCAGGTTCTGCTTTTTTTTCCTGGTGACTCAACTCTCATTTTCTCACATGTTCTTCCCTCTTCCTTTATAGAATGGCATTCTTATGTCTCTCTTTGTCACTGTTCCCACAAGAAGCAGCACTTCCATTTCAACAAATAAACTCTTGGAGGACAAGCTAAAGTTCCTAGTTTGGCAGCAACACACTAAAAGAACAGCAATGGCTCAAAATGAGTCTGATGCTAACAAGTAGAGATGTGAGGAGATTTGGTGTAGCCACCTTGCCTGTGTAACAAGCAGAACTTTCTGGAAACAGCCTGTGTATTTACAAAGTAGCTATTACATAGGAGTACTCAATGAGGGAGAACTGGTACAAGAGGCTTCACTGCTGGTACGAACACTTCTTCCTCCCCTAGTGGACAAGATTCCCCCAAAGCGACATGAAAGAGCTAGTGATCAAGTGCTATAAGCATAGTCCTGAGTACTTTCAAAGTGTTACACTTCACCTCAAAAGAAAAGGTGAAAGTTCGAAGACTGTACACTTACGCCTTTTCTGTCTTGAAAGATTTGTCACATGCTGGGCAGTAAAGATCATCATAAAACTCAACTTCCTCAGCCTCATCACTGTCCTTACCTGTGAGAGGAAAGCTTATGGTAAGAATCCTGTTTGGTCAGAAAAGGGGTCCCCAACCCCAAAGACGATGGATCAGTACAAGCCTGTGAGGAACCAAGCTGAATAAAAGGAGATGAGTGGTAGGCCAGCAAGGGAAGTTTCAGCTACTCTCCACTGCTCACATTACAGCCTAAGCTCAACTCCTGAATTGGGCATTATTCTCACAGAAGCATGAACACTGCTGTGAATTGCACATGTGAGGAATCTAGGTTGTACCCTCCTTGAGAATCTAATGCTTACGATCCGAAGAAGAGCTGAGGCTGGGGATGCTAGTGCTAGGGAGCAGCTGCAAGTAATTGTATAATTATTCTGTTATACATTACATGGTAATAATAGAAATAAAGTACACAATAAATGTACTGTGCTTCAATCGCTCTGAAAACATAACCCCATGCCCCATCTGTGGAAAACCTGTCTTCCATGAAACCAGTTCCTGGTGCCAAACAGTAGGGGACTGCTGGGTTAGAACACAAATCTGAAGTATGTTAACAAATTATGTCTCTTTAATAAGGACCTAAAGTTGCATACAAATTAGAAACTAAAGTTTTTTTTAAAATTTCTGTACTAAAAATAAATGGTATCAGGATTTGAGTTGGTCTCTCAAAATGAGCACTGCATTATAAAGGCAGGCTTCCAAATAAATCACCTTTCTTTCAAATTCTGCTCACAGGAAGTTTCAGAAAATCCTCAAAATCCTGGGTGTAAACCAGGTATAAGTGCCTGAGCCTTGTAAACCCAGCACTCTGGAGGCTGAGACAGGAGGATCACCATGAGTTCAAGGCCAACACAGGCTACACGGTGAGTACAAGGCTAGCCTGAACTGCTTAGTGAGGCCTTGTCTCAAAAAAATCACATCAAACACCACTTTCTTCTTACACACGAAAACTTAGCTTACAATGTTATATCATTACTGGACAGGCCAGAAGATAGCTACATGTAAGGTCTAAAATTGTCTTTGTAAATCTCTTTCATGAACTGAAACTTTGGGAAGTGAGGATAAGGGAGACTAGTCCATGTAGTGCTACTTTTCAGTGGTAACTTCAACACATCATTTATACGGAATAACCTTTAATTAATTGATAGTCAATAAGGAATGTTAGATTTGGAAAAAGTCTGGGTCTCAATATAGTTACATGTTCTCAGAAACAGCTTCTCAGGTTACTATTTTTTTCATTACTAAAAGGGACATAATTCTATCACCAAAACCTACATTTAAAGATCAAGTGAGATCCTAGACAGGAAAGGACTTTACAATTTGTAAAACTGGCCAGCCTGGACTACACAGTGAGACCCTGCTCATTAAAAAAAAAGTAAAGCTGTGTAAATTAGACTATTTCATATTTTTGGAGCATATTATGATTTACACAACTACCTCTGATTCATTAACAAACATTTTATTTCCTAATCATTCTGAATAAATGTTTGTCATTTTATCATTTGGGCTATTATTCTGAAAAACCACAGTGTAGATAAGTAAATTAGTAAACTATGTTTAGATCACTGTTTGACTTGTGGAAGAGCTAGAGACAGTGGGGAAAATGAAGTATACAGCTATCCTCAAAAATCCCTACACCTTGCCTTTTACAATAGTCACTCACCTGTACTGCAATGACAGAGGCAGGGAAAAGAACATTTGGCACAACCAGGGGAGCCTCTCCATAAAGATGGAAATGAGAGAGGAACCGATGATACACACTGTAAAGATTACTGCACATTATCTGCTTTCTTGGAAATCGTTTCTATAAAAACTTGACCTCCTGCTCTACTGCATTTTCTGTACTAGCTGGCCGGTCAGTCACACTTGTGAATATGCACATCTGTCATTATACTGATGCAGCCAGAAGCACAAACCATTCAGAACACAGGCTGAAAAGAGTTTGTCAGATCAAACTACCTAGACTGAATACTTCAACACACTAGTTTTGTGAGGCCCAAACAATATTGTTTTTACTTTTAATTTGCCATATTTGGGAGATAGCACATAAAAAACCCAGTTAAATTAAAAACAACAAAAAAAATGAAAACTCTGGCACCATCCTGGCAACAACAAGCTGGAGCTCTGGTGCTCTGTGTTTTCACACTCTCTCCAGTTCCTTGTTGTTTGAAATGTTGATCCCTTTACTGGCTCCTCTAGGCACCAAAGTGCACATCCTTATACACAGTAACATTTTCCAAAATGTCATAAGAAATCAAGAAAAATTACCATCCTGTCCATCTTTGAGCTCATGTTCCTCCATTTCACTTTCATCTGCTCCATCTCCAAACTCCTTTTCGTACCGCGCCTCCATCTCCTGGAGCTCCTTCTCCATGTTGGCCATAGTCATCCAGCTCTGTTCTCTGTACTGCTCCGCCAGTCTAGACAAACAAGGCACAGCCCACTATGCTGACAATCATGTCTGCACAATTTTCACTTCAGAAACTAAGCTCAAAATCCATCCCTTAAGAGTTTCCAGGGCTTACAAACCTCAAAACCTATCCTCAGAACAAGAGCAAAACTATTGAGATCTGTCACCTGCTTAGTTTTAATTGCTCTTCTAGATAGTGATATTCTAAAATATACACTTTAGCAACTTACTAAAAGTTTTCAGATGACTTTAAGTCCCAAGTGGCATGTAATGCACCAACTTTCAAAAGATGTCAAATAGAATGAATAGAATTTTGAGTAAAGAAACCATATGTAAAAGAATGTTATAGCGAGACACAGTGGTATACATCTGTAATTCTGGCTAACTTAAAGAGGGTGAGAAAAGAAGATCACAACTTTAAGGCCAGCCTGGGCAACACAGAGATCCTGTCTCAAAATAAAATATAAAGGATTGGGGCTGTAGCTCCATCGCAGAGCACTTGTCTAGCAGGTTCAGCCCCCATGGGGGGGAGGGGGCTATAATGCTCCACACTTAATACTTTTATAATAACGCTTAACAACAAAACTTTAAAGGAATGAAAATGAACTGGGTATCCCAGTAACAGTAAAGAGATAGTACTGCACGGTTCAAAAGTAAGGCTCTGCTGTAGAATTCTTGGAACCAATTTCCCAGCTGAGTGACTGACTTAACTGCTCGACTCTGGGCCTGTCTGCCTCATTTCCTCATAAGAATGAGATTATAAACCAGAAGTTACTTCACAAAATTGTTGTCAGAAAAACACTTAGATTGAAGTCTTATACAAAGAGTAAGAACTGGGGCTGGGGATTTAGCTCAGTGGCACAGCGCCTGCCGGGCAAGCGCAAGGTCGTGAGTTTGACTCCTGGTACCGGGAAAAAAAAAAAAAAAAACAAAGAGTAAGAACTCAACATTAGTTATTTAAATTTTATAGGAATTTATGAATGACCTCAAGTTTAAAGGAGCTTTGAAAGAAAACAACCAAATTAAAATAAAATTTTTTGACAGTAAGTGAAAAAACACTACCTAATGTAAGCATTTAGAAAGAAAACTGAGGCCAAAAAGGCAAGTGAACTAGACATGAAAACCCATGATGGTACCCAGAGATGTCCTTCTGACCCCCAATTATGCTGAGAAAAGGAACCAGCACCAGCACGCGTCACATACTTGGCCTGCTTGAGCTTCTGCTGCCGCCTCATCTCCTCAGCCTTCCTGGCCTTCTCAGCATTCTGTTCCTCTACAAGCTTCCGATGAGCCTGCACTCTCTTATCTCTTTTACGAATAAAAGCTACCAGCTGACGCACAAGCTCATTCTTCTCTTTCCTGGCTTTGTCTCGAGTTTTTTTGTTTTCTTTTTCCATAGCTCGCTTTTCCCAGCGGTTTGAAGCTTGCCGTGTATCATACTCTTCCTTCCAGGCAAAGTTCTTCTGAGTACAGAAGCTCTGCCAATACGCGTAGAAAGGGTGGACTACCTAGTGACAAAGAAAACAGGTAAAATTCTGGGTGTTTTTCACTAATATATTTGTAGAAATACATTAATATTCACATATCACTGATGTAAAACATCTTCTAGCTTTCTTTTTTCATATATACATTAGTTCTTTTAAAGCTTTCCATAATAAATCGTTCTTCAAAGTTAATAAGAAAAAAATCTCTCTGAGCACTGAATGAGAACAGTCCATAAACAGAAAAGGTAAATAAGGGAGGCACTAAGAAAACTGCAGTTTCCTTTGGGACCGAGAGGAAAAGGTTATAGGCTAGGACTAGCATGAATTTTTTAGAAAAGAGGAAAAAGACATAGTGATAAATCCTAGTTGATAGGATGCAATGCACTTTTCTTTTACCGTATCATAGTCACTCTGGGAGTCTCCGAAAGTTGGAAAATCCTCAACATCCTCCTCTAGTGCAGACTCTAATTCTTCCTTTGCAATCATTTCAAAAACGTTACGATACACTGTGTAAAAGCCCTAAAAAATCAGAAACACAAATTCTTAATGTTTGTAGTTTAATTGCAGAATAAGATTTTAAAGTGTAAGAGGATAAACTTAACACTGAAAAATTACAGTAACCAGCTACAAGTACATTTAGTTTCCAAAGGAGGTCTTTAATGTGCTAATAGCTTATATATGGAAGCAATACATTTTCAGTTTTTAAAATGGACACTGCTTCACTTTATATTATAGAATAGTATTTTAAATTTTCTTTTCATTTGAGACTTAACTGCTTGATAAGAAATTAAAGTTCCATTTATCTTACCTTTTCATCATCTCCATAACCAGAATAACAGGTAACAGTGAAATAGTGAAGCAAATCTAAACTGTCATCTTGATATTCTCCATCAAGCCCTCCTTTAAGTAAGGCCTCTCTATGATTATCATACCTTTAGAAAAAAAAAAAAAAAAGGACCACTAATTAAGGCTAAATAAATAAAAACTGAAAAGGGCTTCTTGCTCTAAATCAGCTAAACTACTAGAGGAAGTGTATCCCCCACAATGTATCCAATCCACAACCAAGCACTTTTAAGGAAATATTAACATGAAAAAGAATTTAAGTCTTTCACAGAACTGCAGATTAAAACTATGATGAAACTTCTAATATTTTATACAATACTAGCCCATATGAATAGGGTAATTTAAAAAGCCAAGGAATGTCTTAAAAAGCCAAGGATTCTCCCAGAAAACTAGCTGCATTTCCACAAGAAAGAAAGATTATTAAACAAGACAGCAACGAACATAATCTGGTCCACAGACCAACTGTACATTTTTGACCAGGGAAATCAATACCCACCAGAACAAGACTCTTATGTGTATACAGACTTAAACTAGGAAGTTTATATACCCATATTACTCTGTATAATAACTCCCTAAAGGTAGTTATTATCATACAGCAGAAAATAGAAGCTCAGCAATAATGAATAATACACTTATTATCCATAATCCAAGTCCATAAGTGCAAGGCCAGAACTCAAAACTGAATCTCCTGCACTAACAAGACCAGGCTTCTGGCCACTGCATGGTATTGTTTCCAAGGAACAGGAGCGGTTCCAGGTAGAACTTTATATAAAAAGTAAAGAAGTCCTTGGAAAAGAAAACAACTTCGATCTAGAAAAGAAGCTAGACAAAAGGAACTCAGGAAGGAACCTTGTTTAAGAGAAATTAGCATTTCTAAGGTCAGATTTCTGAATTACTTGAATAAAGTTTGGAACGGTCTGATTTTCCTATAAAATTTTTTTGTAAGAATTTTCTTGCAGCTTTTCTCTCTTGACAGGCAGTTGTTCTGTACAACTTTTAACACAGAGATGACTTGTACAGTAACTGCACTGGTCTTTGTAATAGCAGGCTCTTGCATGATTATGTCAGGGTTTTAAAAATATCCCTTCATAGCAAAAAGTTTATTAAAAATCCAAACACTCAGAACTTCAAACATGGAAATTTTTGTTTGAAACTGAGATTAAATTATCAGATCTTTTTTGATAAAACCATCTATCACAGATGTAGATGCCTAATAAAATTTCTTCATATAAATTAGTTGTCTAGAAAATATTCTTGAATTGAAACACTTTAAATATAAGTCCTGCCAGGCATGGTGGCGCATGCCTGTAACCCCAGCATTCGGGAGGCTGAGGCAGGAGAATCATTCGTTGTGAGTTTGAGGCCAGCCTGGGCACAAAGTGAGCTCAAGGCCAGCCTGAACTCCATAGTAACACCCTGTCTCAAAAAAACAAAAAACAACAACAAAAAAAAAAAAAAAAAAAAGGTAAGTAAATAAATATAAGTCCTTAAACAATTTCTGACAATAATTTACTGCCTGACTTCGTAAATCTGTCATATACCAAAGAGACACCATTTAGTGAGAAACCACTTGAAATATCAAAATTAAAACTCCATAATATCATCAAATTTTCTGTTTCATTACCTCTAAGGTCAGATAGTTGGAACAATCATCTCTAAGGTTATCCCCTAATCCAACATTTCATTTTATATGGTGAATAGGAATTTGCCAAAATCATTTAATGTACTAAAAGAAAACAATAACCCCTTGTAGACAATTCCTCCCAACAAATAAACTAGGGTATGCAGAACAACACAGTGCTCACCATGCTCTTTCCTGAGGGTCACTCAACACATCGTATGCAGCTTGTATTAATTTAAATTGTTCAGCTGCTTCTGCAGCGTTATCCAAATTTTTATCTGTAAAAATAAAGTCAGAGAAATTTAGTCATCAAAAAAGTGGAAGACACATTATAAATGAGACTTCTTCCACCACAAATGTCATAAACAGATGAAGAGTATACAAAATAAAGAAAAATAACTAGAGAAACACAGAGATCCCAGATTACAGCTAATAATCAGGACCTACCACAAGCATCTATCTGTAAACTGTGCTATATCGATGGACATTCAATCTGGAAATCCAGAAATGGAAAACCTTAAGTAGTACATGTTTCATTTTCAGAAGGAGTAAAATAAATATCAGTCACAGAAAGATTATTTATTTAGTGCTAGATTATGTTTAGTATTCATGCTCTTTAAATTTTTCTTTCTTATCAATGTCTACGTAAAATAGACAAATAGACAGACAGACAGACATAGAGGCACCTAGGTTCATGAACTGAATTCTTTCCATAGTTCTGGTCATGAACCAAATCAAATTTCTCCCTAAGGTCAACAGTGAACCCAACCATTGAGTTTGATTTTGGCTTGTGACCAATTTAGTTTGAGAATTAAGAACTAAGTTTGTGAATCAGGTAACCTTTCCTCAATTGTGCTTCTTAACCATCACATTCAGAAAGCATTTTTGCCTTAGTGTGGTAGCCAGCACCCAGTGACCCCAGCCTCAGAGCATTCATAGCCTTGTGTAGTCCCTGCCCTCCACAAGCTGGCCCATGTGACCAAAAGCAGAGGCAGACACAATGATACTTTACCTCTGAGATGAAGCTATGAAAGACTGAACTTCTGAAGAAGTTTAGACCGTTACAAAGTTAGGAAAGATGAGCTTCCATTTTGGGCTCTGGCCCTCTCTTGGAGCACTGTGCAAGTAGGCAGCTGCCACAGCAAGAGGAGCTCAGGAGCCCAAGGATAGTTCCGGGTAAAGAATGGAGGACCCTGGGGCAACAGGCAGCAGGGAACTAAAGGGTGTCAACAACCTCGTGCATGAACCAGACAATGAGGATACAACCTCACAGAAGTCGTACAATAAAACCAACCAGCCAAACCACAGATTCTGAGTCTCAGAAACTATGGGGAACTTTATGAGTAGATGCTTGCTGTTTTTGTTGGTTGTTTTAAGCTCTAAGTCTTTGATAATTTGTTATACAGTAATAGACAACTAATACAGTCAGGAAGTAAGCAATTTTGAAACAACTATGGAGCAAGCCAAAGTTCCTTAAGCTACAACTCAGTATCTTATAACAGGCTAGAAGATAGGACAGAAACGGATTCCCTAGACAGTGATGCAGCTTTACCATCTGTGTAACTGGCTCTAGAGGGGTATACTGCTACTGCTTCTCAGACCCTAGCACATTGATCCCAAGACCTACAAGTGTCCTTCTGCCCAATACAGAACTCTTAACAATACTTTCCCCAGTGTGGTAATTTGTCATGGCTTTTTTTTTACTAAGATGCTTTAACATGAAATGCTTTAGAATACATCAAGTAAAAATAATCACCACCCCTGTAGCCTCACTATACACAGGAGTTACACAATGTCAATCTAACCTCCTCCCACAGTGCAGTCCAGTGAAGACAGCCATGGCATCATCTTGTGGCCCAAATCCTCTACTCCTCATGTAGTCCAAGACAGAAACCAATAATCAAAAAGCTATTTCTAACACTATAATTTTGATCACCTTAACTAGTTACATTAGCTGGTAAGCAGCAGCAGACTAAGTCACACTGAATCAATAGTTGACAAGGTTTCCACTATTATTACCGACAAGCCATTTACGAACCATGTAATTGCTTACCTGGCCATGTTCACCTATTCCTCAGGCTTTTTCCCTCCCTCCACCTGTTTTCTCACTTCATGTATTCACCTAGATGTCACTGCTTCACGGACCCATTTCTTGGATGACTTTCCCTATGTTCCACCACACCCCAATGTAGTCCAGGGTGAGTATCTGTGATCATGAACGCTTTAATTTACCCTTATACTGCCCCTCGCTCACCATTTCCCTCCCTGTGTCACCTGCAGAATGCATGTGCCACTAGGGCAGGGACCTTTCCTGCCTCATTCACATGGCAAAGCGCTCAGGGAAATAGTTGCCAGGTGAATTATTGAAAGCCTGCTTTCACAAGGTATGATCTCACTAGGAAGGACTGTGGATATTACTGGAGAATAAATAGCCTCAGTTTCTCCATGAAAGAAACAAAAGTAATTTCTTTCCTTTTTTTTTTTTTTTAGTAACATGAAAAACAGTTTTCCCACATAAGAGACATTATTTTTTGAAGCAAAGCTTAAACCCAGAAATACACAATGCCTCAAACATTTGTTGAGTGAGTGACAAATTAACAAGCCAGCAAGGCGTTCCAAAAACATGTCTCCTGAGAGAGGAGAAATACACAAGCACTGCATTTGCAACCAAAAAATACTTAGGATGCCATGAATTATGATTTCCAGAAAAGATATTTGCATTCAATTCCTGACAGCTTTGGTTTCAAAGTCGGTATTTTAGTAACATTCGCACACTTCTTTCTTGTACTGATTCCCAATTACTCACTAAATGTGGGTAATTTTCCCTTTGTACTACTCTCCCACCTAGACCTTCCCCTGCCCCTGGCCCTGGCCTTGAGCCCGGCTTGGGCCCTCCCTGTCTGTGGTGACCTCTCCCTGTTTGTCTCCAGCCCTCTTCCAGCCCTCAGCTATCTTCACGGTACCTTCCCAGGACGTCCTACTAAAGCCAGCCAGGACTCTCCATTACTGGCAAAATGAAGATATCACAGTCTTCAGCCTAATGTTCAAAGCCTTCTACAACATGATTCCAAACTACGCTTCAAACAGGTTGTATGAACAATGATGTATGAATTCCCTGCCTCTTTCCCACCCAGAAGGTGAAGGAACTCCCAACTTGTAATTGACAACTCAATTTCTAATGGTAATTCCCGATTCCTCTAAAAATACGTTCTACGCTACACTAATTTCTAACTTACTAGTTTCGGCTACAGTTTCTGTCCAGTCATGATAACCATTTATGTCACTTTTGCCTTTATTTATATATGTATATGTACACATATATGTGGTGTGTTAGTTCCTCTGTCGATAATTATGTCACATGTCATTACCTCTATCTCTTATTCCGTCAACTACAGACGACGACCCTTCTGACTCTGGGGTCCTACATGTCTGCTGCTCCGCAGCCCTCGTTTGTCCGATTCCCCATAAAAACTCCCTTTAGTCAAGCTGTCATCTCGAACATCTCTTGAGCGTCCCGATCATGCACACTGTGCCACGGGGCCTGCACCCGTAGTCGGCTCTTCGCACGCCTAAGTCACGCTTTCCCGGCGGGATTCCGTGGTCCCGTCCTGGCATTTCGGCGTCCGCACACTGCGCGCGCGAGCACCCGAGACTCTAGCCGTGTTTACCGGCTACTGCCGGGGCGAGCGCCTCTCCCCAGAAACCTGAAACAACAGCCTTTGCTACTGTCTTAGCCTCCCAGTCTGTAAGATCAGGTTAGTTCAGAAAAAACACACAAGCCCAAGTTACAACCAAATAAAACTGCCAAAGGAAACACACTTCGAAGGAAACAAGCGAACTTCACCGGGAAGAACCAGTGAGGGCCGCTGAAGCGAAGAATCCGCCCAAACGAGCACGGAGCTGGCGCGGGCAGCCAGTTAACACAAGACACAGCACGCGTCCGTGTTTACAGCCGTCTTCCCCGCTGCCCTGTCTCACTTCGGCAGGCCGACGCGGCGGGCCCGCGCGGGGCGCAGGCGGCGTCC